AAAAAAAAAAAACTGAAATTACCAATATTGCTTAATAGTTTAATTAGTGTATTAAATAAAATAAACCAAAAAGAAGTATCTTCTTAGTCATACTATAATAAAACAATTTGTTCACAGAGATAANATAAAATAAACCAAAAAGAAGTATCTTCTTAGTCATACTATAATAAAGCAAATTGTTCACAGAGATACGAGCTTTTAGTCTGTTTTTGGAGTAATTATCTATTTGCATGGGTCAGATTGATCCAATTCAATGAATCATTTTGTAGCCAAAAACAAAAGTAGCAAAGTCATAACAGGTAATATTCCCAAATGTTATATATTTATGGTGTCTTTAGAATTTTTGCATAAATATCTAATCTTTTAATATGTATAAGAATATTTTAGGTCTCTCTTATACTTTTCTTTATATCCATTGTATATTCTAAAATATTTTTCGAAGAAGGTTTAAATAAGAAACCCTTTTTAGGACCCTCTAAAATATTTTTTTAAGTGATCTTAAAATTAAAAAACTCATCATAAGGTTGTTTGAAATTTTCTAGAAGATGGAACGTTACAAAAATATCACTAGACATAAAAATATTGTATGTTGAGATAACTCATCTTTTCAAAATTTACATCAAAAATACGGGAAACTAAAAAAATAAAGGCAATAAAAAGTATAAGGTTAAATTAAATTATTTTTGTAGTCTTGGTTGGACAACGAAATTGGAGTATTTCATTGACATGTACAATAAAATATGAGTAGTGAAATTGAGACTCACTCTCCGTAATTTTGAAATCATTGTCGGAGATATTTTCATATTTCAAATTCGTCATGAATGTTGTTTCTAACTGTTATTGGTAGTTTCTAGAGTTTTTGGTGACAATGGGACAATTTGGAGTGATGGATGTGGTGAAGNTGGTGAACAAATTTGATAATGTGCTCAAGTTTTGGTGACAATGGGACAATTTGGAGTGATGGATGTGGTGAAGACGTCCATTTGTATTCAACATCAGTCAACCTATGGAAAACCCCACACTGGGACATGAAAAACCACACTAAAGCAAAAACCAGATGGAATCCATATACAAAAGCAATAAAACTAGGGTGCTAGTCTAAAATACCACGAAACGAATTCATCAAAACATAACGAAATTGATTCATGATATATCTCTCCTGCAATAACTTCAAGGGGATCTGCCACACCCTTGTGCTTTTGCAATAACATAATATTTAACCATTTAAGTTAAATTTCTACTTCAGGATTAGCATATATCACCTAGTGCTACATAACTCGGCCATAATAATGGTCCAGAAGGGAATTAGACTTAAACGCCTATATGATTTCAACATACTGCAATTTTTTCAAGGACTGCGAATAACAGAAATAGTACCCTTCCAATCAGAAAAATTTTGTCACAAGCTTACTTACACTGCAATGCAGGTACAAAAAATAAAAAAATGGTCGTACTTGTTTGCGAGCGGATGTGAACATTCAACATGAAGTCAAGAAAACGGATCCTCTTTTTCCTCCAGTTGCAGGACCTGGGGAAATGAAAACCAGAGATAATACATAGTGAATGGTGACTGCTTTATATACATCAGCAAGTTTCCCACATTTTGACATAGATAGATTTCCCAATATTCGCGCCAATATTGAGTTAATTAATTCTTTTTTTTTTTTTAAACAAACCAACATTTTATTCCATTTCTCAAAAAGGAAAAGGCAGACAGACCCTGCCTAATCAAAACAGCCACACAGACCAAGCTTTACAATGAGGGAAAAGCAGACAAGCCCTGCTTTAACAAAACAAAAACCTCAACATAAAGAAAAGCCAAAAGGCTTGGCAAAAAAAGCAAAGTCCCTCATAAAAGCAGTCTGGTAACCAGCACAGCAGCCAGCGACCTTAGCCCTTAGCAACAAACAGCATCACCCTTTGTCATCAAAAACCAGAACCCTCTTCTGTCTCAGAATAGGAATCTGCCTAACATCCTGCAGCATAGCCATGCTTATAGCAGAAGGCAAATTCAAGGACTCAGAAAAGTCAACAGAACTTCTAGCACAGACTGCCTGATTAGCCAATCGATCAGCTTCCATGTTAGCTTCTCTGTAGGCATGCCTCAATTCATACTCTCCACCATAGACAAAAGCACCTTAATCTGTCTCAAAACAGACACAACACCCATGGACATCCACGCCTACCACTCACAGCATTAACCAGCATTAAAGAATCAGATTCCACCAGAATTTTATAAGCAAAAAGCCCATATTGTTTAACCAATTCCAGCCCATTTAACAAAGCATTGAACTCTGCAACTGTATTTGGACACTCACCATATAAGTAAGAGGCAGCTAAAACTACCTTCCCCTATTCATTTCTCAACACCACACCTCCTCCTGCAATACCTGGATTCTTCTTTGAAGCCCCATCTGTGTTCAACTTAAACACACCAGGTGGAGGGCAAACCCATTGAATTAATTAATTCTAATATCTACAATTGATCGAAGAACAAGTCCATCAACATAGTTTTTCCTATGCCCCCTCCTCCATAAAGATAAAGTCCTTTCACACGGGTGAGTATGAAGATTGCAGCATGAAACGGGACCTCAACCACCTACTCCTGAAAATGAGTTAAAGAGCGATCAAAGGATGACAGAAAATAGTGGTCAGGAAAAAGAATTACCTCTCGGCTTTCTTGGAAGTAGCATGCCAATCCAATCGGCAGGCATCAGCTGACTCAACCAGCTGATCATAGAGTCCCTGTAGTTCTCTCAAGGTAGGCACCTGACAATCAGCATATCCTTTACAGGAAAACAAAACTATAATGACACAATAAGTCCTATCTACAATAAGCATCATTTGCTTGATGAATTACAATTGCTATTCTTGCTTTCCAAATCTTGAAGTTGCTTTACAGGCCTTAACCGAAGTTTATGTCCCTCCATAAATGATACCTCAATAAGTAGCAAATTTACTTAATGTACCAATTCCAACTCGTGCAAAGTACACACACTATTTAATACCAGCCATCTAGAAGCATGATAATGATTTATCAAATACAAGCCAGGAAGACAAATTTCCAATAACAAGGAATTTACCAATCTAGATTGGAAGAAATTCATTAAATTCAATATTTTCAGATAACTATATACCTAAACCTATTATTTTCATCAAAATAACCATATGGATTGAAGATAGATGTAAGTAATTATTTGATTACCATACTTGGCAAGCATCACCATCCACGAGCTCACCCGCAACAATTCTAGGTTCATACACCACAAGAGGCCTCTGCTTTGTCCACTTCTACTCCATTAGTTTCTATTGTTGCATCTGTGGACAAAGCTCTCGAGGTCATACAGGAGTTATGTCTACATCTACAAATATCGGCATTGTAGTAGAATTTGTAGAAAGCCTTGCGATTTCTCTCGAGCAAAAAATTGTGTCTTTTTCAGTTACCACCATTCAAATGTTGTCTCCTCTATACCTAAATGCTGCTTGAAATTGACGTAGAAAAAGGGAGGAGTTGGAGGAAGAGGAGGAGAAGAAGGAAGAGTTCGCAGAGGAAGAAGGAAAAAGAGGAAGAAAGAGGGAGGAGAAAGAGGAGGTGAAGGAGAATAAGGAGAACAATGAGAAGGAGGCGGAAAAAAAGGAGGAGGAGGAGGAAGAAGAGAAAGTTGTCCCCTCTATGCCTAAATGCTGCTCGAAATTTAAGTAGAAGTAGGGAGGAGTTGGAGGTGGAGAGAGGAGGAAGAAGATGACATTGGAGGAGGAGGGAGTACAAGCAAAAGAGGAAGGAAAACGAGGAGGAGGAGGAGGAGGAAAAGCAAAAGGAAGAAAGAAGGAGAAAAAGTGAAGGAGAAGGAGAAAGAGGAGGACGAAAATGAGAAGAATAAATAGGAGGAGGAGAAGGAGAAGGAAAAAAGGAGGAAAATCGAGAGGAAGGAGGAAATTAACAGAGTTGGAGGAAGAAGGTGCGGGAGAGGGGAAATAGGAGGAAAATTGGGAGGAATGAGGGAGGAAAAACAAGAGGAAGAAGGAGGGAGGAAAAACAAGAGGAAGAATAACGAGGACAATGAGGAGGAAAAAAGGGAGGAGAAGGTGAAGAAGGACGAGGAGGAGAAGGAAGAAGTTGTCTTCTCTAAGCCTAAATGTTGCTCGAAATTTACATAAAAGAAGGGAGGAGTTGGAGGAGGAGGAGAATGAAGAAGAAGAAACTGTCTCCTCTATGTCTAAATGCTACTCAAAATTTACGTAGAAGAAGGGAGGAGGAAGAAGACGATGTTGGAGGAGGAGGAGGAAGAGGAAGACGAGGAGGATGAGAGAGGAAAAACAAAAGGAAGAAGGAAAACAAGGAGGAGGAAAAGCAAAAAGAAGGAAAGGGGAGAAGGTGATATAAGAAGAAGAAAGAATAAGAAGGACGACGACGACAAAAATGAGAAGAAACTGNTAATCTAGATTGGAAGAAATTCATTAAATTCTTAAAATTCAATATTTTCAGATAACTATATACCTAAACCTATTATTTTCATCAAAATAACCATATGGACTGAAGATAGATGTAAGTAATTATTTGATTACCATACTTGGCAAGCATCACCATCCACGAGCTCACCCGCAACAATTCTAGGTTCATACACCACAAGAGGCCTCTGCTTCGTCCACTTCTACTCCATTAGTTTCTATTGTTGCATCTGTGGACAAAGCTCTCGAGGTCATACAGGAGTTATGTCTACATCTACAAATATCGGNAGGAGTAGGAGCAGGGAAAGAAGAGGAAAATTGATGGAGTTGGAGAAGGGTGAAGAAACAAGAANACTCCATTAGTTTCTATTGTTGCATCTGTGGACAAAGCTCTTGAGGTCATACATGAGTTGTCTACATTTACAAATATCAGCATTGTAGTAGAATTTGTAGAAAGCCTTGCGATTTCTCTCGAGCAAAAATTGTGTCTTTTTCAGTTACCACCATTCAAATGTTGTGTCCTCTATACCTAAATGCTGCTTGAAATTGACGTAGAAAAAGGGAGAAGTTGGAGGAGGAGGAGGAGGAGAAGAAGGAAGAGTTGGCGGAGGAAGAAAGAAAAAGAGGAAGAGGAAAAACAAGAGAAAGAGAAGGAGGCGAAGGAGAATAAGGAGGACAATGAAAAGGAGGCGGAAAAAAAGGAGGATGAGGGGGAGGAGGAGGAAGAAGAAAAAGTTGTCCCCTCTATGCCTAAATGCTGCTCGAAATTTAAGTAGAAGAATGGAGGAGTTGGAGGTGGAGAGAGGAGGAAGAAGATGATATTGGAGGAGGAGGGAGTACAAGCAAAAGAGGAAGGAAAACGAGGAGGAGGAGGAGGAGGAGCAAAAGGAAGAAAGAAGGAGAAAAAGTGAAGGAGAAGGAGGAGGAGGACGAAAATGAGAAGAATAAATAGGAGGAGAAGGAGAAAGAGTAGGAGCAGGAGAGGGAAAAAAGGAGGAAAATTGAGAGGAAGGAGAAAATTAATAGAGTTGGAGGAGGAAGAAGGTGCAGGAGAGGGGAAATAGGAGGAGGAAAATTGGGAGGAATGAGGGAGGAAAAACAAGAGGAAGAAGGAGGGAGGAGAAAGAAAAGGAGAATAACGAGGACAATGAGGAGGAAAAAAGGGAGGAGAAGGTGAAGAAGGATGAGGAGGAGAAGGAAGAAGTTGTCTTCTCTAAGCCTAAATGCTGCTCGAAATTTACATAAAAGAAGAGAGGAGTTGGAGGAGGAGGAGAAGGAATAAGAAGAAACTGTCTCCTCTATGTCTAAATGCTGCTCAAAATTTACGTAGAAGAAGGGAGGAGGAGGAGGATGAGAGAGGAAAAACAAAAGGAAGAAGGAAAACAAGGAGGAGGAAAAGCAAAAAGAAGAAGGAAGGGGGAGAAGGAGAAATAAGAAGAAGAAAGAATAAGCAGGATGACGACGACAAAAATGAGAAGAAACAGGAGGAGAAGGAAAAGGGAGAGAGGAGAAGGAGGAGTAGAAGAAGGGAAAGAAGGGGAAAATTGGGAGGGAAGAGAAAATTGATGGAGTTGGAGAAAGGAGAAGAAACTGGAAAGGAGAAAGAGGAGGAAAATTAGGAGGAAGAATGAGGGAGAAAGAGAAGGAGGATAAATAAGAGGAAAAAAGAGAGAGGAGAAAGAGGAGGAGAAGGGGAGTAAGGAGGATAATGCGAAGGAGGAGGAGGAAAAAAATGAGGAGAAGGAGTAGAAGGAGGAGGACGAGGAGAAGGAAGAAGTTGTTTCCTCTATGCCTAAATGCTGCTCGAAATTTACGTTGAAGGGAGGAGTTGGAGGAGGGGGAGAGATAGGTGTGTCCATGGGCCGGGCCGGATTAGGTCTGTAAAATTTTTTTTAGGCCGGGTCAGGGTAATGTAGGGCCAAGCCCTTGCCCATGTGAGTTATCGGGCGGGCTGGGTTGGGCTTCGAGTAAGGGTAGGCTACCTGCAGCCTAACCCACGAGCCTATTAAGCGAGCCTGCTCGCGGGCTTTTCTATATACAACTTCATTTAAAAATAATGAATATTTTTGTAACTTAATATTTGTGTAAATTATATATTTGAATAAAAAATAGTCGAAATGAATAAAAATAAAATAATGAATAATTTTATTTTTGATTAAAAGATGAACTACATCCAATAGAATAAATACATCCCAATTAGGTTGACACCTACTCACTTATCTATCATTTTCATTATTCTACCATTTAAAACTTATATGTTTAATACATGGAAAAGAAAATAATACATTATTTATAATATCTAAATTTTTAAAATTTCAAATTCCAACATTGGGAGCCTTATTCAAAGTTTCAAATTTAATGGTTTAAAAGTATAATTTTTTTTCAAACGAAAAGTAGGCGGGCGGGCTCTTGGGCCGATTTTAACGGGTTTATTCGGGCAGGCTATTGGGCCAGGTAATGGATTTGGGGGCAAACTCAAGCCCTCTTTTTAAGAATATTGAGTTCGGACTTGGGCGGGCCAACTATCGGGCCTATCGAGTTTCAGACCTATTTTTTTTGGGCCGGGTAACGGGACTCGTTGGTAACCCAGTCCATGGACACCCTAAATTGGGAGGAAAAACAAAAGGAAGAAGGAAAACGAGAAGGAGGTGGAGGAGGAAACACAAGAGGAAGGAGGGAGGAGAAAGAGAGGGAGTAGAAGGAAGAGAATGAAGAAGAAGAAGAAGTTGTCTCCTCTACATCTAAATGCTGATCAAAATTTACGCAGAAGAAGGGAGGAGTTGGAGGAGGAAGGAGGGGGAGGAAGAGGAGGGAGGAAAAGCGAAAGAAAGAAGGAAAACGAGGAGGAAGAGGAAAAACAAAAGGAAGAAAGGAGGAGAAAGAGAAGGAGGAGGAAAACGAAAAAGAGAAGGAAAAAGGAGGATGACGAAAATGAGAAGAAGAAATAGGAAGAGTAGGAAAAAGGAGGAGATAAGAGGAGCAGTAGAGGGGAAAGATGAGGAAAATCGGGAGGAAGGAGGAAGGAGGAAGGAGGAGGAGGAGCAAGAGAGGGGAAAGAGGAGGAAAATTGAGAGGAAGAAGGAAGGAGGAGAAAGAGAAGGAAGAGGAGGAAAAAAGGGAGAAGGAAAATGAGAAAGAGTTGTCTCTTCCGCACCTAAATGCAGCTCGAAATTGATGTCGAAGAAAGGAGGAGTAGAAAGAGAAGAAGGATGAGGAGGAAGAAGGAGTAGGAGAGGGGAAAAGAAGGAGTAGGAAGGAAGGAGGAAGGAGGAAGGAGGAGGGAGGAGAAGGAGAAGGAGAAGGAGAAGGAGGAAGGAGGAAAAACAGGAGGAGGGAGAGAAGGAAGAAGAAGAAGAAGAAGATGAAAAAGGAGTAGGAAAGTCAAAAGAGGAGGAAAATCGGGAAGAAAAAATAGGAAATTGATGGAGTTGGAGGAGGAGGAAGAAGAAGAGGAACGAGAAGGGAAAAAGGAGTAGGAAAATAAGGAGAAATAGAAGGAGGAGGAGAAGAATAAGGGGAACAATGAGAACGAGAAGGAAAAGGTAGAGGAGGAGGTGGAGAAGGATGGGGAGGAGGAGGAGGTGGAGAACGATGGGGAGGAGGAGGAGGAGAAGAAGAAAGACAATGAGAAAGAGATGAAGTAGGAGGAGAATGAAGAAGAAGTTGTCTCCTCCATGCCTAAATGCTGATCAAAATTTACGTCGAAGAAGGGAGGAGTTGGAGGAGGAGGGAGGGGGAGGAAGAGGAAGGAGGAAAAGCAAAAGGAAGAAGGAAAACGAGGAGGAAGAGGAAAAATAAAAGGAAGAAAGGAGGAGAAAGAGAAGGAGGAGGAAAACGAGAAAGAGGAGAAGGAAGGAGGAGGAAGACGAAAATGAGAAGAAATAGGAAGAGAAGGAAAAAGGAGAGAGGAGGAGTAGAGGGGAAATTGAGAGGAAAATTGGGAGGAAAAAGGAGGAAATTGGCGGAGTTGGAGGAAAGAGGAGGAGCAATAGGAGGAACAAGGATCTAAAGAAAATTAATAACACTGCAAGTAATTAAATTCAGGAAACAAAATGAACACAAATTACAGAGATTAGAGATTGAAATAATACCTGCTGTGCACCAATCTTTATCTTCATATAATTTTGCTGATAGAATGCAAAACAAATGATTCAACATAAATGGCATATACTCTTAAAAAATCATACAGGAACAAGGATCGTGAGCACACCTCTTTCCATGGAAGATATTGATTAGCCGGCAGATATTTAACTCGGATAAGCAATGCAACCAACTCGTTCACCTCAATATTTATATGTTGATGAGATATGCTTTTGAATACTTAACATCCATAACCACATCAAGCAGTTGATCCCAACTTATACCACAATTAAGACAATCTAAATGGGTGCTAAATTTTTCAATACACCGATCAAATACACAATAAAGTTCTCTTTTAGATAATTGACGCCACAATAATTTCATACTAACTTTCCCAGAAAAGAGAACAAGAGTTATTATCCGTGCATCTAAGACATATATCATAGTCAACGAATTTAAACAAGAACATATGTTCAAGAACTACTAAAAAAAAAAAAAAGAAACTTTTTACTTATCTAAAATCACTTCTATGTTAAAAACTTATTATATTTATTGTATATCAAAATACACAAACTACTACACCAAAATACACACACTAATATGTATAAACACAAACATGGATACTAATACATCACAAATAACTGGCACACACGAAGATGTCAACACACACGCACGCATTAATACATCAAAAACCACACCCATATACGCACACACTAACTAATATACACCAAAAACCACATGTACACACGAAAACGTACACACAACCCTACTTATACATCAAAAATGACACGCACACACAAACACACTAATATGCAAAAACACATATTCACTGACACTAATGCACCAAAAATACACACATATACTAATACACCACACACACACATCATGTTAACACACTAACCCACCAAAAAACACGCATGTGCTAATACATAAAAACACGCGCACATACACAATAATGGACCAAAAATCACATACATATCCCTATACACTAAAACACACGTACTAATTTATCAAAAAAATACACACCATAATACACAAAACACTGGCACGCACACTCAAAGAAACAAAAAAACACACATACATATATTAAGAAACCAAAAACAATACATGCACTAAAACACCATACAAGTATACCCATTAGTATACCATAAAATACACACACAGTANCAAAAACAACACATGCGCTAAAACACCATTCAAGTATACCATAAAATACACACACAGTGTTAAGAAACAGTAATACACCAAAATAATCACTAATACACGAAAACACGAAAACACACACGTGCACATACATACACTAATACGCAAGGAAATATACGCATACCACAATACACCAAAACACATACTAATACACCAAAAAAAACACACACTAATAAACCAAACAAAGAACAAACACAACACACTCTTACAACCAAAACACCTTTAGACAGACACTAATACGACAAAAACACACACACACATACTAATACACGCGCACACTAATACACAATAAACACACTAATATATGAACTAATATACACCAAAAACCACACACACACATTCANAACAAAAACACACAAACACGTACTAATACACAATAAACACACTAATATATGAACTAATATACACCAAAAACCACACGCACACACATTCACCTACAATAATACACACAAATATATCAAAAATCACATGTACACACTAAAACACACACACAACCCTACTAATACATCAAAAATTATATGCACACACAAACATACTAATACACCAAAAATACACACATATACTAATACACCACACACATCATGTTAACACACTAATCCACCAAAAAACACGCACCTGTTACTACATAAAAACACGTGCACATACGCACATACTAATAAACCAAAAATCACATACATATCCTGATATACCAAAATACACATACTAATTTATCAAAAAAAATACACCCAACAAAATACATAAAACACGGGCACGCACACTCTAAGAAACCAAAAACACACTTATATACATTAAGAAACCAAAAACTACACGCGCTAATACACTATCCAAGTATACCCACTAGTATACCAAAAAATACACACACAATATTAACAAACACTAATACACCAGAATAATCACTAATACATGAAAACACACACATGCACATAAACACTAATACACACATACCCCAATACACCAAAACACAAATACTAATACACCAAAAACATACATACACTAATAAACCAAACAAAAAACAAACACAACATACTCTTATAACCAAAAACACCTTTAGACAGACACTAATACGACAAACCCACACACTAATATATCAACTAATATACACCAAAAACCGCACGTGCACACACACATTCATTCGCCCAAAATAATATCAAAAATCACATGTACACACTTAAACGCACACACAACCTTACTAATACATCAAAAATGACACGCACACAAACTAATACATAAAAACATGCGCACATACACACACTAATAGACCAAAAATCACATACATATCCCTATACACCAAAACACGTACTAATTTATCAAAAAAACACACACCATAATACACAAA